CTCGCCGCGGCCCTCACCCTGGGGCCTGCGCCTGTCCCGGGTGACGAGGCGCTGGGTGAAATGGTGCCTGTACCAGCGTTCCCATCGGCACCCTCCAGCCCCACAGCTCTCTCACTCCCGGGGAATTCAGTAGTATCTAGACAAAAGTGAAAAGCCCATCCTCCCCTCCACACACACACAAATGTAAGGTCAACAGGCTGGAAGAATGGAAACAAACCAACCCAACCCTATAAACAGTATCAACTGGTGCGTAAGATACAGAAGAGGGAAAGCTGTGTTTGACTTAGGACTGAACGACAGACGGAGATCTCCTTAGCCTTTCCCATCGTTTCCTCACAGCAGTCGTCTTCTGGGGAGAGGGCTCTGGTCCTGGGCTGGCTCCTGCTTTGCAAACAAAGCTTTCACCTCCCTCACATTACAGAGAAGGCACGGTTCCTTGACTATCCATGTTTCACAATGCTTTGTGTTGAAAATGCATGTTTTGAGTTGGCCCTTGCAGGCAGCTGGGCAAGAGCAGGAAGAATCTGGATCTTAAAAGCTCCATTGCTTAGAAAGTGACAAAACAAGGGTAGTTCAAGTTTGAATGAAGTTTAGACAGCGGCTGCACAGGGGCTCTTTGAACTGCAGGAGGGCTGGCCTGCTCCGGATTTATGTCCTTTGTTCCCACAATCCCTTCCTCACAACCAGCCCCTTGTCCTCCTACTCAAGAAGCACTGGTGCTGGCTGCCGGCAGCTGGATGCTCAGACATCTGAACGCCAGCAGTCTCTCTGTCCTGCCTCAATTATTCACACAACTGATTCCCAGGAACCTCAGTTCTCTCCAAAATCCTTACCCCTCTTCAAATTTTATTTAAAACGGGCCAACGGGCCTAAAAGTTACAAGCGTTAAAAAAAAAAAATAAAAAAAGGAAAAAAGCAAAGAGGTTTTCCTTTAACAAGCAGAACAGTAGAAATCTCAAGTTGCTTAGTAAGTGTCACCTGCTTGAGATGCTGTACCAGCATCATGGACCACACTTAGTTGGCACTGCATCTGTCCAACTGTGATTTCGGAATATTCTTCAAGCAACTATTTGTTGAACTTCTTGGAAAAGATTTTACTTTAAAAGTAAAAAAACCCCAAAGTTTCTGTGCAAGTTGGTGAAATGCAACTTTCCTAAAAAAAAAAAAAATCCTCCTGCTATTCTACACGTACAAAACAAATGAATTGAGGAAAATTGAGGAAACGAGGAAAATGGAGCAGAAAACCTGCTGCTGATTCATGGAGACACGATTAAAAAGACTTTGAATGATCACACTTTTAAAGCAAGTCTCCCTGAAGCAGAAACGGACAGAGATTCTGCAAGAAGCAATACTGAGAAGAGCTGTGAAATCACATTTTCCAGTCTTCACTGTCAAGTAAGAGCCCAGACTATACCAGCTGGGCTCTGCAGTGCTAGGGACACACTTCAGTTCTGCTGAAATCTACTCTTCTTAGAATCTGGATCCCAGTTTTCAGTTCTTTGGCTTTCTTTTCCCATTGCTATCCTTTCATCAACGCCTCCAGTACTCAAAATTACCATGTAGAAAAATACAGCAATGACCTCAAAGGGCCAACGTACAACTGGCGCTGCAAAGATGTTCAAGGGAGATAGAGGAGAAGTTAAGAACATCTACAGAGAGACGAGAGGAACTGCACTAGGAAGTGGTCGCATCCTAAGCGGGCAGGCAAAGAAACATGATACAGGATCAACTGGAGGAACTTCAAAACCCTTCCATAAAGCAAAGACCACAACTGAGATGTAGAAGCTGAAACTGAAATACCAAATTTAACATCTTTACTGTAATTCAGTTGTTTATAAAACAAACCCAACACAACTATTTTCTTGACAATAAGGAAAATAACTATGCATTGGTTTCACTGGATTTCAGCATAAAAGGATTGCACAGGAAGAAAAAAGGACAACTTCTCAACCCAAAGAAACAATTTTTAAAAAGGTTTTCATTTTTTGTGGTTTTTTTTTTAATAAATGTGCTTTGTTCACAAAAAGTAGTGACATAAAGACAACAGAAATGCAAATACACATTTTTCTTCCTTTTCCTCTCCAGCACCTTAAGGAGAGATCTCTTGTACAGTCATGATTTTCAAATATTTCACAACCTAGAAACATTCTTCTTGCACCAAAGCCAAATATCCAACAACAACTGATATCACCACTTTATTGTTCAGGGAGGTATAAGTACTTCTGTAAATCCCACCTTCCTCCTCCACCACAACCTACTGTCCCTTGTAAAAAAAAAAACAAACAAACAAAAAAAACCCAAAAAAACAAACCAAAAATAAACATAAAACCCCACTTCAGATATTTAGAATAGGCAGCAAGAAAACCAAGCTGTTATGAATCTTGGGTCCCTAAACCACAAATACAATGGTGTCAACAACCTGCCAAACAGGCTTACATTTTAAATGTTAATATTTTAAACTATTTTGGGGGGATAAATCTTGGTCTGAACCG